GAAACTCGTTGTTTTACGTTGAGTTTAATTCACTGTTTTGATCGTAAATTACATATCAAAACTACCGTTTACACTTTAATTGAATTTATTTCAGTTAACGTGACATTGTATTTGTGTGTATTGATCCTGCTTTTGTGTATTTACTGCATCAAAGCATTCTTGGTTGACAGCAGCTTGTTTATTTGATTAAGGTTGTGATTTGTCTTACATATCTACCTTGCCTATCATTTTGCTTTATTCTTAGATGGTCGGCTCTGTACACAAGTGTGGACAGCCATATTGCTTATTCCCCGTGGAAGAAGGGATGCAATGTGACGATTGTAAGAAGTGGTTTCATAAAATGTGCACCCGCTTAAGCCCTGCTGCCTATAAAAGGTGCTCGAAACCAAATTCTCATTGGCTCTGTATGTTTTGTTGCTCAAGTAAGACATTACTCATTCAGGAAGCCATCAGCCTTCTAGCGTTAGCTAAAAAGGTCGAAGTAGGCCGTGCCGGCAACATGGATACTGATAGTGAAGATTGTATCAGTGTCGTAAATGCTGCCATGGCAGGTACCAGACACCCAATTTCGCAACATGAAGCAAAAATTTGTACTCCGATACAACCAATGAAAGCCATGCCATTAAGTAATGAGGGACCAGTTGCTTTAGCAGCGACTGAGGACCCGGCTAGAACCACTATCGTCCAGAATAGTTCCAATCTGGATGCTGAGACTAGTGGGAAATGGATTACGCGGAAACGCAAAAGAGACGGAAAAATACCCAAAGAAAGCGCGCGTATAGTTGGTAAGTCATCGTTGGACTCACGTCCTGGGCATCAGGCAACTCCGCTCAAGTCCAAATGTAAGGAAATATTTAATACTGTTGTGGATGGAAATAGTCTAACTTCACCAAATGTTGTTGGGAGTAACTCGCTTGACCCACATGACACTGTGATAAAGAAAGCTAATAGCAAGAAGTCGGTAGCTAACCGGCAGGATCTGACATCACGGTCAAAGGCCGTGAACACGACTTTTAAGGCAGTTAAACAGGTGCCTAGTGTAATCATCTGGAACTTGGCAGAATCGAAAGACACCGATCCCGCTAAGAGACATGCCCACGACCTGCAGTTAGTCGGATCTCTCATCAGAAATATACTCCCAGAGGAGGTCCCAGGGGTACATATCTCGAAAGTCATCAGACTCGGTAAATATGTTGGAGGCGAAACCCAACAGAGAAGGATCCTTAAATTAGTACTCGGTAATTTTGAGGAAAGGGACGTATTACTAAATAACGCATGCAAAACTCGTGACTCAAACATTCGTATTCGACCTGACTGGCCACTTGAAGATCGGATCAAGTAGAAGAATGCCCTAACAGAGTTAAAAACTCGAAAGCTAAACGGTGAAGCGAACCTTATGATTAAGGGTTTTCGGGTAGTCAGGTCTTGGAAGCCAATGCTTCCGAGACCTGTGTGGGTAGAACGTATGTCTCCAAAAACACTTTAAATGTGTGTTATACGAATGCTCGTAGTCTTCGGAATAAGATGTCTGAACTAAGTTTGATGGTAGACGACTTAAATCCGGATATAATTGTTATCACCGAAACTTGGCTCACTGTAGATATAGACTGTTCTCCAGTCATTTCAGGCTACATCTGTGTCAGAAGTGATAGAGTTAGAAGTCGCAAGGGAGGAGGCATAATATTATATATTAGGGACCACTTCCGCATTAACTCGATCATATCGGAGGCGCATGTAAGTGGTACGTGTGAGGTAGTATGTTGTACAATTAGGTCTAGAAACGGGTTAGTGACGATAGGAGGAATATATCTTAGTCCGTGTTGTCTCGCTGACGACTTTATCCTAAAACACGTCTGTTCTTGGAGTAAAGCAGAATGTTGTCTCATCGTTGGAGACTTCAACGCACCCCATATAAACTGGATAGAGCTCACAGCTACAGGTGGGGGTTTCGATAGCGTCCTTCTGTCATCAACTATTCAATGTGCACTTGTACAATGTATCGTTAAGCCGACGCATATAGACTTGGAACATAATCCGTCATTGATAGACCTTGTCCTCACACACCACTGTGAAGATATCGTTGACATTCAACATCTTCCCCCACTGGTGAATAGTGACCATGTCGTACTTTCCTTTAAGTTCCGGATACATGGTATAGAATTTGCATCAGCTCCACCCCGTCCTAATATCTGGAGAGCTAATATTCCGGCAATCAGGGACTATGCTATCTCAATTGACTGGTCGGTCGATGCTGATGGATCGATTGATGATGCATGGAATAGGTTTAAGTCTACGTTCGAATCCGTAACTCAACCGTTTATCCCATGGTCAGCACGTAAGTTATCATATTGCCCTCCATGGATTAATAAGGAAACCCGGAAGCTGTTGAAGCGTAGGAAACACTTCTGGGACTTATTCTTGTCAACAGGTCAGGTATCATTTAAGTGCGAATATAAAAAAATCCGAAATATATGTAAAAAGACCATAGCTAAATCCCGCACGGCTTACGAACGACAGTTGGCATACGATAGCTGTACCTGTCCGAAGCGACTGTTTTCGTACGTTAAAAGGCGGATGAAACGTAGTGATGGTATCCCTTCATTACTGTTAAGCGAAAATTCAGCTTTATTGGCTGAATCTGACCTAGCGAAAGCGGAGTTATTTGCTAACTATTTCAGTGAAGTCTACTCTACGTGTAGTGTTACAACTACTTGTACCGTTGACAATGAGATACCAGCCATAGGACCCTTACACGTGACAGAGGATATAGTTCTTCCTTTGATAACTAACCTAAAACCTTGTAAGATACCGGGCCCCGATGGGTTACACCCACGTTTGCTGTCGTCGCTTGCGGACATTATCTCAAGACCGCTCACGATGCTCTTCAACATGTCCCTTTCACAGGCTCAACTACCTAGAGACTGGAAAGACGCCATAGTTAGTCCTATATTTAAGGATGGTCAGAGACGGATAGTATCTAACTACCGGCCTGTTAGCCTGACCAGTATAGTAGTTAAGTTACTTGAAAAACTAATTCGGGCTAATCTACTGAGCCACATAGATTCGTACAATCTGTTAACTCCCGAGCAACATGGGTTTCGTAACAAGCATTCATGCTTGACTAACTTACTCATTGCGAGAGAGGATTGGACAGCTGCCCTAGACAACGGCCAGTCTGTCGACATGATATTTATAGATTTTAGCAAAGCGTTTGATAAGGTTTCACACTTAGGTCTTATGCAAAAGCTCTCGAGCTTTGGTATAACAGGTGCTATACAGGAATGGATAGGAAGCTTCTTATGTGACCGCAGACAGAGTGAGAGTCAATGGAACTCTATCCGAATGGAAACCGGTCAGAAGTGGTGTACCCCAAGGCACCATCTTGAGCCCTTTACTTTTCCTTCTGTATATTAATCAACTACCTTTATTACTTAAGTCGTCGACGTTATTGTTTGCGGATGATGTTAAAATCTGGAGAACAATAAGAAATGAGACTGATCGTTGTTATCTACAAGCAGATTTAGACGAATTAGTTAGGTGGGCTCATGATTGGGGCCTGGAAGTTAATTCCAGGAAGAGCGTGTTCATGCACATCGGGCACGATATTAGTTACCACTATACCATTAATGGTACATCTCTGCCACGCGTTCATGCGCATAAAGACTTAGGAGTAATTATAAGTCACGACTTAAAAACTACTACGCACTGCAATGCGGTTGCTTCCAAAGGCTATCGAGCGCTATGGTCGCTTCGCAGAGCATTTAAATGCTTTGACGAGGATATGTTTCGAATTTTATATCCCACCTATGTAAAGCCACACTTAGAATACTGTATCCAAGCAGCTAGCCCTTGTCTGATAAAGGATACTAAATCGCTTGAGCGTGTCCAGCGTGTAGGGACAAAATTAGTAGAGGGTCTTTCCAAACTCCCTTACGATGAGCGTTTAAAACGTCTAAAACTTTTCCCCTTATCTTATCGTAGGACGCGAGGTGACCTTATACTGGCATTTCGTGTCTTTAATTATGATCTGGGTATTAATATGTCTTACCATTTTGCTCTCTCCAGCACCAATAATATCCGGGGTCATAGCAAGAAGGTTCTGAAACTGCGATCTAATAAACTAAAGGTGGGGTACCGTTTTTCTCATCGAGTGGTCAATGACTGGAACGCTTTACCAGAACAAGTGGTATCAGCATCCTCAGTGAACATTTTCAAAAAGAAGCTGGACCTTCACTGGAAGGAAATCTGTCAGGATTAACACAGGTTCATCAGCCTACTATCCTTATTACTGAAGACTGAAACATGGTCCGGCAACACATTAGTCCTTGTTGCTGTAGAATATTTTAAGCGAGAAACCGTTTCTAAATATGAACGAAATACTCCCTAGTAAATGTAGAAATAAACATCAACCGTCATATAACCACGACACATGATGATTAAGAAGGGTTCTCCAATATCAGAACAGTATGGACTCTTTAGAGTCTAGATTTTCATACGACAGAAGTACCAAAGATCGAGATAAGAGTTAGGAATATCTGTAACATTATAACGATGAGAAAAGTTACACGACTACAAAACCCTTAATTTGACATAGGTGAACTCCGAGCAACCAAGAATTTACATCACAACCTACAGGCTACAACATAATGCTTAAGCAATCTCATTCGAAATTCCTTGGTCTCTGTTACAGTATGTACCTTGGTTTCTACTGGACAAAAGATATAATCTAGGGAAATTTTGTCACACCTCCGTTGTTCCGAGGCATATTACTAACGGACAGCGGATGGATGACTGCAGTAAAATTATCTTATCATTTACGAATCAGTCTAACTACAAGCTCACCAACGAACTTATAACTATTGGGAAAAAGTTTATGGTCAGTAAGATACATCATCATTTTTCAGTGAGTGGTTCTTATCTCCAGTTGTGTTATATGGAAGACTTTTGAATAGGAAGAATAAATATGTGGTCAAGGACTAAATAATAAGTTTTCAACTTACTAGAACTCTTTGGAAACTCGGCAGGTATACGAATTTGGACTGACTGTCAAACGACCTAAACAGGTCCTCAAAACATACCTAAGAAACAAATAACCGAACAAACGTCAGACTTTAAACCTGCGCAGCATTGTGCTTGAAAACCTCGGGTGGAACATTGGTTATGATAAGTTTTAGAGAAACTCCACTAAGAACCTCCATGATTTTCTGTATTTCTTCAGCCGAGAATGAATATCCTTTATTAGCCAGTGTCGTTTGAACATTACAAGCTTCTCGATGTTTACTATCCATTTGGACTCATGAAAAGCACCAAGGCCACTCATAGGCCAGCACGAAAACCACACACGACCTTAGGGTAATTCACTAAATCAGGCTTTCAAAATGTGGAACAGTAAAACAACAAGAAGCCGTAAACAGTTTAAATTCAAAAGATATTTAAATGACAAGAAATAGGATTCCTTCATTTAATTATCTGATCAAAAATATAAAACTAAACACCTCAACACTTGATTAAGGCTTTGTCCGTCGACTCTTTCATAAGAAATTTGAATTAACTGAGAGACCATCATCGCCAGGACCAACACAGGCCATCAAGCCTCCTGTGCTTTCCAAACTGAAACTGATAGCTTTAAAACATGTCTGTGTCGGACGATTGTTTACGAACTTTGAAAAGTATAGATGGACAGCAGATTACTTCTTAGAATTTGTGTCTGTATTAGGATTGTGACCTTTGCATAGCCGAGGATATGAATCCTTATAACCATCTTTCAACAAAGAAAGGTAACAAACACATTGGTCCATTAACTCGGAACTATTAAAATCAAGTCACAAGTTGTATTCAAGCAGCTGAATTGATTGATCTCAAATGTTTGTTGCTCAACAGGATTCCACTTTTTGGTGTTCATTTTCAGTTTTGGAGGAAATGCATCTTTGACGATGAAGGCGAAATAGAGGCCCTGGTTGATTTCTTCCAGACAGTCTTCATTCACGAACCACCTCTCGACAAAAACCAGGCCCAGAAGTGTTATCATATTGGCTACTAGTAGCGAGCTTCCATGGAAGCCACGTAATAAAGGCAATAATTACCAACGCACGGAAAAATCAGTAGAGCCCTTTGAACCGCGTCCTATAATACGGAAACAAGTTGCATTGTTCACTGCTTCCCTCTCAATACTATGCTGAGGTCACTCAGCCACTCCAGCTGATTAGGCTGACCAAATACAACTTCTAACGAACTATTTGTATGTCAACTTCGTCAGTGCTGTGTTTAATATATAGGCAAGAATCACTAAGATCACCATTATGACCTTGAAGCGAACAAATAACTTGTAAGACAGAAGGCGAAAAGATTCCGAGTAATTGTTATCATGCACATAAAGACGACACAAGTATTCGGAATTTGATGACGCTTTTGCATGTAACACCTTAATGACCGAAGTATAGTAATCCAGTCAAATCAGAAGTCAGTAATGAGGGATTTTGTAGACATATCTGGAAGACTGTCGACATGTCGAGAGACCTTTGGTCTAAGCAGGCTAACCGTTGCTAGGGATGAGTAGCACGTCGTGCCCACTCATGATCTGGTCCGGATTCGTAACTGAGTCTTCAGGTAGGTGTGTCCATTAAAACACAGATTAACATCAAAGTTGAAGACTTACAAAATTTTATTTCGTGGATTTACATACCACCACACACGGCTAACTTGCTATAAAAGAGAAGAGATGAACGTATTCGTTTGTTGTCAATACATCTGTAGATTGTGTTCAACGTGGCATCAGCTAAGTATTTAAAAGCGTATATGATAGGCTTCTTTTGAAGCTAAAAAATTCCAGAAGCGCTTGGACTTCCTCAGGAATAGACAAAAGTTGTTGATACGAATCGAAAACAAACCACGAATCTTCATAACGAAAATCATTGCCTAGTGAAGTAACTCGAGGCTTTGGAGATATTTAAAGTTGATGGCATCAAAGTCAAGTGATAAGTTAAAAGGTTAAATGAAGTTGTATTGAAATCCAACTATGTAATTCTGGTTAACTGATCAAAATTGTGCTTGATTCTTATCCTTGCGGTAAAACACACATTGTGTGTACAGAGGTAAATAACGATCGTCTTAGAAAAGCGTCCGCACCCTTTATCTTTTCCCACAGTTATCTAGCAACAACAAAGAGCAGGGACATAAAGGTCACGGTTCACAATCATGTTGTTGTACTTGATAGTTTCTAATAAACTGAACAGGAGGCGGAAAGTTAAAAATAAAAATTCCAATGAGCAGAAAACTGCTTTTCTAACGTTTTGTTGCTTTTAAAAGCCACTCTGAAGAAGAAGTGGGTTCAGAATTTAGTGGAAATTTAGAGGGAGATTTACGAGACTCGGATTCCACTGAAGAGTCACAGACGACAGCTACCTGTGCATCGATGTCGATAACCTTTTTACTAGTGGACTAAAAATCCTTTTATGCGAAAACGAAAACTTAAAGTGTATGCGTTTTGAGGTATGTGTTTGTAGGATATATCTCTAGGTGTGTCATAGCTCATATATCTGCACCTTTAGAATAATAGATCCATACGATTTGGGCCTAGTCCCATGTGAGTGTACTTATGTTCACCTGGAGAGCAGTTGATCGAATCCAATAATGTGAACTTGTGATTGTATGACGGCTTGATCTAGAAGTTCTTAGGCGGGAATCATATCTCTGTATGTACCAATTCACCATACGTGTAAGTCAGTGCTACTGTCTACAGTAACGTTTGAATAACAAAGTAATGGTAAATAAATCCCCAAAATCAATAGACCTGTAAGTCTTCGACATTGAATGCTGACCACATTAGTTTTGATTGACTCACCTAGCTGAGGGCGCGCGGTAATGTATCTGCACCAGATCACGAGTGGGAACCCCGTGCTCAACTTTTCCTGCGATCGCTAGCTAGTTTAGATCAGTCAATTCTCGATATACTGATAACCAATCAAGTATATATTTGAACCTCCTCGCTTCTGAATTCTGATTTCACTGGGTGGGTACGAATCAATTATAGGTGTTCCTGGTAAAGTGCTGTCAAACCGCGATACCTGTGGCATCTTCAGTGGTGAGCCCGACGTGGTCTGGTACACCAACCCATAGACTTTGAGTCTGTTCCGTTTTGGAACTCCATATATCATTGCTTTGCTGTATTTTTTGTATATTGTGATATTTATTCCCGTTTTTAATATTTTTCCCTCGTTCATCCCAATACTTTCAATTCGCTCTAGGCTTCCGAATAAATAATTCGATGACTTGTGGAGATTCGTATTTTCCAGAAGTTTAGAGTTGAACTGTTTGTCGAAAGAGCACCATTCTAAGCATAATGTTAACTTAATAATGACGTACAAACGAAGTGATTTGACTTCGTTCAGATAAATATGCCGTCATCGATCATAGGAATGTACGTATATTAAAAATTCTTATCTTTATGTAGTTGTTTTAAATGATCTGTTATGACCTTGAAAGTTTTGAGTACCAGGTCGAGATGCTTTTTATTCCACAAACTTGTGAGTCTGCGAAAGTATGTCCACTTAACTACTGTTACTTTTTTGAAGTGCGTAACTTTTATTCTTTTGTTTGTCTCAGTAGGATACAAGGCTTATAGGCTAGATATTACAATGGCCTACATTTTTAAATAAACTTAACCAAACATTATCATCAATAATTTATATCTAATAGTACTATTCACATAAATTCGATGTTTTGGTTTGCAAACGCTGTGAAAAATGCCGTCCACATTTTGAACTGAAATATGTTATAACACTTACGTGTCATAATGTTAATTATCTTCAAATATCGTATTCTTTTATGTATGTTTCAGTTGAGTTTATATTCCTCGTTTCACCTGTTTTTTTAAAAAAATTCATCGTACTCAATTTACAAATATTGGGGTGCGTGCTAAGGAATTCTTATTTAGATAACGAATTTGTTGCTTTTTTACAAATAACTTCAGTTTTGCAATAAGTTAACCGTAGAACAATAAATTTGCTAATTAAGGATTATGGAATAATTTACTTTAGGCCTATCGAACACTTTGTGTGTTAGACGTATTTTTCAACGCTCTCCAAATGTCTGACTTATATATACGGATGGATAGAAAATAAAGTTATTATATATCATATTGTCCTCCATGGATTAATAAGGAACGGACTGCTGCACAATAAACCCGTCCTTTTTTGCTAGACGGATATCTCGCCTACGCCATAAATGGCGCAGGTTGGCGAAAGCTAGACGAGCCTTCTGTATCCGTGCTGAGATTTCGTTACACACCAGACCACAAGGGCTGATGAGACTCCCAAGATAAGTGAAGCTGTCAACACGCTCAACTACTTCACTCCCTATCGTTTATTTATTTTATTTATTTATTTATTTAAACACATATATATTGGTACAAAAGGGCACCAGGTACATATGCGCCACACCACTCCCTATCGTTAGTTCAGGTGTCGATGCAACCCAATCCTGAAGTAACATTTTGCACTTTGAGGGAGAGAATCGCATCCCGAACATACCTGCATTGTTGCTTATAGTGGTCAGAAGACTCTGCATTTTGTCAAAGTCTTCACTGAATAAAACTATGTCGTCGGCGTATTCTAAGTCAACAAGTGAGCCTCCTGGTAAAAGTTCAACTCCAGGAAATTGAGGTGATGAAAGTGATACCCCTTAAAGCATGTCAACGACAAAGTTAAACAAGAATGGGGAGAGTGGACAGCCCTGACGAACACCACTTGAGGTAACCGATTCTGATGACAGTTCGCCATAGGCTCTAACTCGACCAGTTGTGTTCGAGTAGAGAGCCTTTATGAGGTTAATGTACTTCTTTGGTACTCCTTTCACTGACAAACACTGTCATAGAACCTCACGATCAACGGAGTTAAATGCCGCCTTAAGGTCAAGAAATACTACTACAAGTAGTTATAACACTACACGTAGAGTAAACTTCACTGAAATTGTTAGCAAATGTCTCCGCTTTCGCTAGATCAGATCGACCGTTGCTGCTACCTTGACGTGGTGGTCGGGCTTGCCTATCGTGATGAACCAATCGAGCTATGCTGACTGGAACAATCGTTCCTCAAGGTCCTACCATGCCAGACAGGTCGGTTGAAGAGCGGTAAGGCTGAAAGCAGCAACCCCAAGGTCCGAAGGCGTAGTCGTACTGCTGACTGTACAGAGGTGTGATGGCAGTAAGGTGTTTCCTTCTGACAACCAGCACAACAGCGTTGCTGCCTTCCCACAAGGAGGGGTGGGGTTAGAAAAGGTCGACCCTAAAAAT